AAGTCCAGTTCCGTAGATGTAATCTCCTCGTTCATCAAAAGTATCTGTGAAGATGCAAACAATTGGGTTTTATAAGTTGAAATTACAAACCAAATTTTTAATAATTAAATGATAGTAAGTACCTGAAAAGCCATTTGCGATGCGAATATGAGCTTATCGCATTCGAATAGACCTCTCGAAGTGTATTGAAATACGGAATAACTTATACAATCGATTAGATTAGAAACACGTGCATCTAAAGTTTCGCCGGGATCGGCGCGTGCAATGGCCTTTTGGAAAACTACACTAAAAGCCTGAAAAGCAAAGAAATTCATTTAAAAACCGAAGTTATTACTGGGTTTAAAAAAACCAATTAGTATTATGATACTTTCAGTGGCAATTGCGGTTCGGAAGTTATGCATTATGCCTTTCCCCTTTGACCTTTGTAAATCAGAGCTTGAGAAGATAATCGTTCCCCAAGGTGTATCAGTCTGCGATTCATGTTACGTGGGCAGTCGCATAGAATATGTTTTGGAGTTTCGTTTACCAACCCACACAACCAGCAGTGCGTGTCTATATCAAACTCCATTTTATTCGAATGTTACCTTAACTTGCAGTGTCCTGTCAGGTAGCTTGAAAGAGTCTCAAGGCCCTCCCGGCTAGTTTCTAGCAGTCTTTTAGTCTTCCGCCTAGAAGCAATTTATTTGATTGCCACATTCTCTTTGACTACCGCCAGTGCGCAGTAATCTGAGATTCTTCCTAGCTCTGAAGTGGCTCTGCAGTGTATCCCTTAGATGTAACGTAGAAAGGCTCGAGACTACGCAATCGCATTTGGGTTCCACATTTAGCCTTTACGTTGCCTTCAAACACTTAATATCCACCACTCACCACTGCTTTACTCTATTGTAAGGTTCTAGGTTGTACAAATGAATTTTACAACTGTCAACAAGATGAGTCTAAGACCTTAAATGCTGCCTGACTCTCCGATGTAATATTTGTGCTGGCCTCATTTGTTCTTCTACGAAGATATTCTTGAGCACAGACTTCGACTGCGAAGACTTCCCCAGGAATATGGTTGGGTATGTGAACATTAGCAGACTTTTCCGGAATCTTGGTCCAAGTACGCCTGCCCCAATACTCCATCGGTCATCTTAAATCCGTAAGTATTATAAACCCGGGACTATTTGTCAATTAAAAATGTTATCGCTTTACAGCAGTCCTTTTCAGGAATTCTGAGCTTGCAGGACTTGTAGAAGGATGAGCGCTGGGAGCTTGATTGCGGTGTCATCTAGGAATGGCTTGAGAGCCTCCAAATGACCCCGAAGATCCCCAATTTGTATGCTGATTTTGTCGGGCAGCCATAGGGTGCTCTATTAGATCTCCTTTTCAATCAGAATAGACAGTGACGGAATGCCTGTAATGATACCAAGGGCATCCGTGTCACAGGTGCCCATAGCTTCTGTGATGTCACGAGATGTAGTTTGCTCAAGGTAGCACCCGCGCTTACTTGCTTTGGTTTGCACCACCAAGACAGAGCCAATAGGTTGGTTTACGTGATATTCCCCAATTTTACCATGAAGTATCTGACAGGTTCTGGGAGTTCATCAACAACCAGTGCCCATGGTAGCTCTCTTTATATCGCTACTTAAGGACACTCACAATTGCAATGGCAAGGATAAGAACTGAATACTACAGAGATCACTCGGTTTCGGGGTTGGGACAATGGCTTCCATATATAAGTTTCAGGAAACCAAAATTTTAAGGTGCTGGAGTACGTTAAAGCTAAAACTAAATTAATGTATGACAAACTCTCCGAATTCATGAGGTATATTACGCGTGGAATCATTTAGAGAACAAAAAGACGTCGAAAGGGCACGGCTTAGTGACCACTCTCACTAAGAGGAAAAATTAGCGCTTAAGGTGGCTGGGTCGATCCAATAACGTAGTTCATAATTTTTTATATTAGCTGTATTTTTTTGTAAGCGAGCGACAAAAGAACGTTCAACTCGGGTAAAATTTCCTTTTAGCTACTTAAGCAACCCTGCTGGTAGCTGACAAGAAACATGTGACTAGTTTAACGGGATTTAGACACAAAAAACAATAGAAATTAGTTATTATGCGAGGTATTTGCATAATATATATACTTATTTCAAATATATATCATGTATATACGAAAGCAAAAATTCCCCTCTCCAATTTCCCAGTAACAATTCACAATAGAGCAGTTTTGTCACTTAACAACACTACTCTTCAGGTCGCGTATTTTTTAACCGACCTGGCTGAACTCGGATAAATAGCCGAGTATGTGTTGTTGCTTTGCGTGTATTTCGTCATTTAAGCGAGTGTTCTTTTGTAGCTCGGTTGCAAAAGAATGGACCTAATATATGATTAGATTAGATAGATAAATGTAGATAGATATAAGTAAAGTAAGCTAATTTTTACGAAAATTTTTTGAATTTGTTTTTTAATTGCATTAATTTTTAAGGCAGTGGCTCTCGATTGGTACATTTGGACAGAATAGTACATTTTTGTATTGAGCTATTGGTACAAAATAAAAAAATAGGAATTTTTTTTGTATTCAAAAGATTGGTACAATACAGCGATGTCCTATTGAAAAATTTCAACAAATTAATTTTCCTGATAGGGATAAAGAAAAATATTTGGGTATTCACACAATTGGGATACGATATGCACCAAATTTTGGCAAATACCCAATCGTGTGACACTGCCTTTAAACTTGTATTTACACGGATGTTGTTAAAGATTGAACTATAAAAAAATAACCAGAATTAACTAACAACAAAAATAATATTTTAAAACTTGTGAAAATTTGGTGCGGCTATAATTTTTTCGTCTACTGTACATTAGACTGCATCACCAAAAAAAAGTTGCGGCTTTTCTGGCGGGACTACCAAACCTAGTATATTTTAAGACTTCTACCAAAATATTTGGGGAAAATGTTAAGATTTTTTGGAAAACATCCCCTCAGATGACAAAGCAGTTTAAGCTTAAAAAAAATCTACATAAAACTATTAAAAAATTGTATGAACGGAATCATAATGAGATTTTTGATGATGTTTTTTAACTTTTTTCAAAGATTTGTGTAAGAAAGAGTTGAATAACTGCTTCAAAACTTTACCGATATAGACTTGTGAGGGATCAGTGTGAAGGTATTTTCTCTCCCTTTTTACTTCTTTGCGAAAAAAAACCTCATTCATGTCCCAAATTTTTCTTTATCAAATACCAACACAACTTAATTCAACTTAATTCAGCACGCGTTTATCTTACCTTCCTCTTTCATACTTTGAATGAGCTCATTCGCAAAGAAATTAGAAGGGCGAGAAAATTCCTTACCAATGATAACTCATATGTCTAAATTGGTAAGATTTTGGCTTAGTTATTCAAGTTTTTCTTAAACCAGTCTTTGAAAAAAGTTCAAAAACAGCATCAAAAATCTCATTATTATGATTCCGCAGAACATTTTTTTAAATATTTTTATACAAACCTTTTAAGCTTAAACTGTTTAGTCATCTGACATAATTTTTTCAAAAAATATTAAAAAAAAACTTTTTATTGATAAAAAAAACTTAATTTTTGGAGGTCCAGCTCACGTAAAACCTTAATATTTTTGCGGGATATTTCGGTGGAAGCCTTAAAATATAAAAAGGTCAATATATCAATTTATGTAGGCGTTATACTTTCTAAGACATTTGCAATTTCAGTAAAAAATTAATTAATTAATGTATTTATTAATTTTATTTTTTGAGCACATTGAACTTTGATGGCGAGCCTTGACCAAAAATTGTCATCTATAGCACAGATTGTTTTTAGAGCAAAATGAACCATATTTTTGCTATTATCA